CAAAAGCCATGAGGATTCTAGCGGCTCGTCTTGTAAACGTAAACTTTTTTTCTGATAATACTGATTGGTCAAGAGTGGGGTTCGAACGTGGGTGAAACACTCTTTGCGCATATCCACTTACCAGTTGAGTCAACCACCCTTGACTTACAAACGTAAACTCTCTCTCAAATCGCTCGGATCTCCTAAATCATATAATTATTGATTATTAATATCTGTGCATGATTTGGTTATGGTAACGATGAATGAATTGCAGTACTGTGGGCGGAGAGGGAGAGTGGTGTCGGCGTATCCTTCCCCACAATTTCGCTGTTGGTGTTCATCCAAAGGTCATCTCTCCTTCATTTTGTTCAATTTTTTTTTTTCAACTGACTCGGGTTTCGGATTCTAGATCTGGGTTCGACGGCGGATTTTTAAATGATTTTTCTATAACATAAATAACCGAACTCGAATATAACCCAAACCGAAATCTGAAATAGACACCCTAAATACCATTATATGAATACTAAATAAGTATCAAACTATAATATTTACACATAGTGGAAGATTCGAATTTTGGTTCGGTATTTATACGGTTTGGTTCGGGAAAGGTTTATTCGGTTTAGAACCGAACGTTATTCGGTTCGGTTCGGTTTCGGGTCGGAATTAAATTTCAGAAACGAAGTGTCTACCCCTAACTATAACCATTCGGTTCGGTTATTTTTTTATTCGGTTTGGTTTAGATAAAAAAATCATTTTTTCAAAAAAAAATATATCGGTTTTTTCGGTTAATTTTTTTATTCGGATCGGTTTGGTTATTCCGTTAATAACCGAAATGCTCAGGTGGCCGAAGGCCTGTTGAATCTCTCCATTGAAGAAAAAAAGGGTGTAACCTCTGGATTTTTGCGTATGGGTACGATGGATATAGGTCTGCGGCTTTTTATCTCCCGACAAATCTTATGGGTTCATATGGAATTTGTGTTGAAAGCAGAAGATCATCGAGTGGTTGCAGGGATGGCAAGAGCAAGATCCTGTCGAAACCGTTGAACGAAATGAAGGAGGAGGCGAGAGAGATGAGACGGGACACGATCGAGATGAAGATGAAGTTAGAGAAAATAAAGGAGGAGGTGAGGGAGATGAGACGGGATATGACCGAAACGAAGAGAAAGTTGGAGGAAATATCCAAAAGATCAGGTAAAACAACAACAGCACATCTCATCAAACCAAATCAGAATCGCATCCATCCTTTTGGGTCCGGTTGTGAATCGTGATTGTCGGTGTTCTCACATGGAACTCATGTCAGAAACAGGGACTGCGACGAGAACGCCGGAGAAGACATCGAGCGCAGGAGACCAGGACATGTTCGTCGAGATCGTGAAGATCGCTGTTAGGGCGATAGCTCTTGTAACGGCGTTTTGCATACTGATTACTTACTTAGCTTTATACCACTACGTAGCGGTTGGATGTATAATATTGTTTTTACTAGGCCACGAAATCGCGCGGGTGATTATTGATTTTATATATGTACTAATTTATTGGAATTTAATTTATTTTAATAATATGTGTATAATGATTTATTTAGTCGAGGATAACAATCGTAAATTTGATCCTTGTATAAAGAATACAACTCCAACAATATTTGCAACATGAGAGAATATAATGAATATCATATATAGGGGTGGGCGTTTCGTGATTCGGTTTAGGATATGTTTATTCGGTATTAGAAATTTTGTACCAAAGTAGTACCGTATATTATATTCGGTTCGGTATTTTTAGGGTTTAGGACGGTACGGTACTAATAAATAAAAACCAAATAAGAACCGGAAAAAAACGGTTCGGTACGGTTTATAATATATTTATAATTCATATAATATAAAAGTAAAGAGATCTAACATAATAATTTTATACAACAAAATAAAAGTTGTGTACTTATAAACTTGGAAAAAAATCAAAATTAATCTCAATCCATTACACAAACAAACTCTTAATATTAGTAAATACCATAATTAACTACTAATATTATATTTTTTATAAAATTTAAAATACCGAAATACCATTTGGTATTTTCTGAACCGAATCGAAATATTCCCGAACCATTCGATATTTCAAATATCGTACCATGTGGGATTTTTATATAATACTGAACCGGACCGAAACTGAATTAAAAACGATGCGTAGCCATTTCGATTTAAAGACTAACTAAAATAAAAAACTGAAAACCGGAATCAATCTTACCAAGAATAGAACATAACAAATCCTAAATTAATATGAATATACAAATCCAACACAAACATCACGATCTAATACATTGATTGGCAGATTGAACCCTTAAAGAAATAGCTTTGCCCATCATCCATTTGGCAAAACTACGAAACTTGATCTCAATTCATGCAGTAGTCAAAGTAGGTATCCAGGGAACAGGAGAAAAAAGATAACTTGACAATGAACGATTGGCTACAGCTGTGGCGATGCAACTTTTCCGATGGATCAGTTGGTACACACTCCAAAAATTTCTGGGTCATTGCATTCTCTGTAAAATTTTAAATTTTGTAAAACTTTTAGATAAAAAATAAGGAGCCATTTTTCAACAACCAAATATACATGCGTGTATTCACACAAATCTATATATTTCAGATACATTTCAACTTCATGTTCTACGATAATATTTGTTTCAATTATAAATATTATATTATATATACTATTTTACAATTTTAGTACCTAATATAGCTTATAACATCAATTATTTGTAATATATATATATGTAATATACATTTCATTGTACATATGATTTAAAATTAAAAACTTGAAATTAAAATAAATAATCAAACACAAAAGCAAACAATATATTTATTCAATAAATATATAATATACATATATATACTTAAAGTCAGCATGATATTTAATCTAATAATTACGATATTTATATATTTGTTTTTATTTTAAAATATTATTATTACAATGGTTTAGTGTTGTTACAAATTATTTTTTTCCACTCTATTTGTAGAATATATATTTGATAAAGATAAAAATGTAGTATTTATTTTAAACCATTATTATAATGGTTTGGTGATGTAACAAAATAATTTTTTCACCCGATCTATATAACATATATTTGATAAAGGTAAAATGTAATATTTATCATAATCTATTATATTGTTAAAACATATACATAGATGCTTCACTGGAAACCTTGAAGCCCTAGGCAAAAATTAGAAAAAAATTTTGTTGTATAATTATTGTCGATCATCTTTGGGTTTACATCTGTAACGACTATGAAAATTTTTTTGACATTCAATCTGCGCATTTGTGAACGGAGATTTGTTGCGAGATCATCCTATATAAATAGTTTGACGATATTGTTGTTCAGTTTTATATCGAAATCACATGTTAATATGTATAAAGGTAATAAGATATATAAAGTTTTTTAAATGGCTTTACTTGCGGTGTAAACAAATGGTGAAAACTTACCTTTCCAATAATAAACGGAGAATAATCTTCTGACTTGACGTCGACTTTCGTAGGTTTGATCTTTGAATTAAGATTAATACTCCAATAATATCTGCAAGATGAGAGAATATGATTAGTAGATAAATATCAATATTAGGATTTTTAAATGATGTATAAACATTTAAAAAAATTTGTCATATATATAAATATGGTACACTTATATTTATACTAAGATGTTCAATTTATTTTATGTCAATTAATTTTTAATATTTTCTTGGCAAACAATGATGAATATGAGATTCTTATAATTTATCCTAACCTTATGGTGTTGGTAGTCCATTGAAGATTTCTCTGTAAACGATGTTGGTGATGCTACATTTGTCATCTGAGTGTTCCGTAGTATCTAGGATTTTTAATCATGTTGCAGAAGTAACACGGGAGATAGCAACATACAATTGACCATGGGTAAAGACCAGACGTGGGAGATATAAGGCTACTTGTTTCAGACTTTGTCCTTGGCTTTTGTTTATTGTCATTGCGTAGCATAATCTTATTGGAAATTTCCTTCTCCGCAAGGTGAAGGGATGTTTTGAATCTGTTGGTGACAGAATAATTCTTGGAATAAAGACCTTTTCCCCGGAGTTTGGTCATGTCATAATTTCTGCCTCCAAAACTCTTTTCCCTAACTGAGTTCTTATTAGTCGTGTCCCATTGCAAAGTCCTTTTTTTTTTATTCATGTTTCTTAG